TTGGCTTCACTATCAGTATCATGGAGGAACCAATTTTGGCAGGACTGCTGCAGAATTTATGATAACAAGTTATTATGATCAAGCTCCACTTGATGAGTATGGTAAGTTATCCTAACATCCATCTTTTTGGATTCAAGTTATACTAGTAACAACCTTTACACTATAAGTGAATTTTAACATGTGATAACAGGTAAGTAAATCATTTTTATCAGGTTACATATTAATATTAATGTACATCATAGAGATTTACTTTAATTTACACGGTCAATCAGGTTTAATTAGAGAACCAAAATGGGGTCATCTGAAAGAATTACATGCAGCAGTGAAGTTATGCTCGGAAGCCATACTTTCTAGTTTTCCCACCTTGCTATCTTTTGGTCAACTACAGGAGGTATAGGCACAAGAGGCTATTTTACAAGAATTTACAGAGCCATGAATCTAATACTCAATGGCAAACTGTACCAACACTTAATAATTGGCAATGCTCAAACTTGCAGGCATATGTATTCAGTGGAGATTCAGGAGCTTGCGCAGCATTCCTGGTCAACACAGATAGTAGAACAAGTGCAACAGTGCGATTCCAAAATTTGACATATCAATTACCTCCAAAATCTATAAGCATCTTACCTGATTGCAAGGTTGTGGCCTTCAATACAGCCAAGGTATATATGTTCATTTTTCAACATCGGATCCTTTCTACTTGTTTCATTTTAATTATAGTGGTGTTTAACTGAACACTTAAGAAATGTTCTGTTCTGTACTAGTAAATCATGGCATGTACATATTCATGTGTGATATATAGGTGAGTACTCAATTTAACACAAGAACTTCGAGGCCAGTGGTCAAGTTTAATTCAGCTGAGAAATGGGAACAATTCCAAGAGGTTATTCCGCAATTTGATGCAACCGCACTGAGATCACAAACATTACTGGAGCAAACAAATACTACAAAAGATGCCTCCGATTATCTTTGGTATACTGCCAGGTAATTAAACTCCAAACACTCCGTAGTATGTCACATAACTTACAGAAACTGGACTGCTTTTAATACCAAATTAACGAAAAATGGTAATGCACATACATAACGAGAACTGCAACCAAACTCTTCTAATTTGTTACTAGTATTTATCTTCTAACATATGCCAAAATTTATGTGTTAGTTTCGAGCAGGATTCCCAGGAGCATCAGGCTAGACTAAGTGTGAAGTCCTTAGGCCATGTTTTACATGCTTTTGTGAATGGAGCTCTTGTGGGT